GAGGAGAACCCCCAGGCTATCACTTAGAGACGCGACGCGAGGGCGTGAGAGCTGTCGCTACAAAAACGAACCCGAGAAGGCGGTGCCTCCTCCTTATTTCCAGAAATAGAGGCTCTCTGGGCCGCAGCTGGTCAGTGGCCAGAGCCTGTGTCCCGTGATTTCCGAACAAGCCACAGCCGCTGTCCCTCTCCACGTCGTCTCTCGGCTCTTCCGATGCCTCTTCCTGCGGCATCGCTGCCCTTCCCTTTGCCTGGGTCCTCACCCTACAGCCCCATTCCCACTTGCCGGCCCCATTTCTTCCCCTCCCCTCTCCCCTCAGGGATCAGCATAATGACATCCGCCCTACCTCTCCCGTGTACGTCACCAGTCTGTAGTTGCGAATCCTGAGCACTTTTGTCCATCCTAATTCTTTTGTTAATTCAACACAAACTTACGGAGCCCTTCCATTTCCTGAGCGCTCCTCCAGGCCCTTAGAATCAGCGGTGCCAGACTGCCCTTGCCTTCAGAGCTTCCGGGGCGGCCCGACACAATCAGTGACGGAGGAATTACAATACAGAGTGATGAGTTATGCTGGGGCGTGGGTGGACGCAGAGAGGGAAACCTCCTCTAGGGTAGGGAGTCTGAAGCCTCCTGAAGCTGAGTGGAGAGGGAGGGGGGAGTGCCATGAACCCAGTTAAGGGGATGGGGAGTCGGATACGCAGTGTTTTCAAAGGCTCAGAGGTGACTTTGAGGGACTGGAAGGGGTTCAGGATGGCTAGAGGTGGAGGCTGGAGCAGGAGGAGGAGGCCAGGCGGATGATAAGCAATTTAAATAAAGTGAGCTTTGAGCTCGTCCTAAGGGCCATGGGAGATCTAAGAGGAGAGGGAAAGGATCAGGATGCTGCTTTCCTCTCAGAATGGAGTGTATGTGGGGGTGGGCGGGGCTGGGGGGGCGTGGGGGTGGTGGAGGAGCCAGCTCCCTGTGCATTGCTCTGAGGCTCTCAAGAGGGACAGCAGGGAGCCTGGAATGGAGAGGGAGAAGGTGGTCCAGACCAGGTGCAGGATCTGGTTCAAGAGCTATTTAGGGGGCAGAAGACAGGCCTTGGTGAGGGGGCTGAGGGGATGAGGGGAGGTGGGAAGGAGTCAGGGAGGTCTCCTGGGGTCTGAGGCAAGCAGTCGGGTGAGTGAGAGTCTCTTTTCCAAGAAATGTTGGAGAAATGTGAAGAAATGCTGGGGGATGATGGCGGTGATGTGTTCAGTTTCAGATGTGCAGTCTCCAACCTGCGCACTAGCATTTACACTGTGACCTCCCCTGGCTTCACAGATAGGCCTGCCTGTTCTCATTGGTTTCACCTGGTCACCCCAACTGGTTTGTTTTTTTTTTTTTTGACTCTTCTCTGTTCCTCTGTGCCTTTCCACTCTGGCGTTCGGCAGGGGCTGGTTTCCCCCCTCGAATGCACAGTCTACGCTAGTGGCTTTTGCTGGAGCTAATGAGTAAAGCTCGCAAATCTGTGTTTCTGAGTTATCAAGAATATTGAAAAACAAAATAGAAACAACACACAGTTGTCTCAAAGCCGCATTTCCAATGTTCATAGATCACATGATGTCTAGGGGATGGCGATGTGCAGGCACTCTGAGTTGGGTTATGGGATGTCAGGAGTTGTTGGCCATCTGGAGGCTGAGGGCTGCTCAGCAGGAGAGCAGGCTGGCTCTCCCTCGGCTGGCCAGCGGCAGACAGACCAGCCACTGGAGATGAAAGTTCCTTGCTTCGTAGCCAATTTTATACCCAATTTCAGCCTGTCTCTGGGCCCAGTTCAGCATCTCATACATTTTTCATGTATCAGCTGACACATGAGAAGACCACGGTCTGGTGCATAATTGAAAATCTCGCAAGTACTCTTCATTAATGTATGCAAGAATAAACATGGTATTATGGAGACCAGACTAGAGAACTGAGAAGTTTTTCACTTGGAGTTTCCTCCTCCTCCCCCTCCCCCTCCTCCCCCTCTCTTCTCCTCTTCAGATGAAAGGAATTGGTCCTTATGGGAGAGGATTAGACTTCATTGCTCCCAGGAGGCTGTGTGTTATGTGTACATGCACATGCCTGTGTGTGCACATGGCTCTGTGTGTGTGTATGTGTGTGGCTGTGCAGGCGAGCCAGTTCTGTTGATTTTCCCGAGACTCGCAAGCTGGTTTGATCTGCTGCCACTACCACACTTAGCTAACTACCTTAAAATTTGGACTTATTTTTTTGGATGGAGAACAGCAGTAAATGAATTTTCCTTCAACTTAAAATATTTATGAGATCTAAGTTAAAAAAAAGTACAATTCCAAAATTGCCATGTACAAGGTCAGTAACATCCAGGGGTGTATTGAAGCAGCCTTTCTCTTTATTCTCTCGGTCTAGACTCTGCATCATGGACGCTCTTTCTGAAGCAAATGGCACATTTGCACTCCGCCTTTTAAAGATACTGTGTCAAGACAACCCTTCACACAATGTGTTTTATTCTCCTGTGAGCATTTCCTCTGCCCTGGCCATGGTCTTCCTGGGGGCAAAAGGAAACACCGCTGCCCAGATGGCCCAGGTAAGGCTGCCTGTCGCCCAGGAGAAGGGACTGGCTCTGCGGTTGTTATGTTCTATCACCAGCTTCATACCTGCTGCTCCAGAGCTGCCGCGAAGGAGGATGGGGGAGTGGAGCCTGGTGTATTCACACACACATGTTCATTTCCCGGAGGTGGGGCTGCCTGGGGAACATGATGCAAAGGGCAGGGCTGGGAGTCTCCTTCACGGAGACTTTTTGGGAAAAGTTTCTCCAATTAATAACCTGGATAAGACGATCAAAATTTTGTCCTAGCTCGGGGCCACCCCAGTGGCGCAAGCGGTTGGGTGTGCGTGCTCCGCTGCTGTGGCCTGGGGTTTGCTGGTTTGGATCCTGGGCGTGCACTGACACACCACTTGTCAGGCGATGCTGTGGCAGGCCTCCCATATAAGGTGGAGGAAGATGGGCACGGGTGTTAGCCCAGGGCCAGCCTTCCTCAGCAAAAAAAAGAGGAGCATTGGCAGATGTTAGCTCAGGGCTGATCTTCTTCACACACACACAAAAAATTGTCCTAGCTCTTTATCTTTGTTTAGAAAATGATACTGAAATTATTTGAAATCTAGGCAGCTAAGATCTATCTCATTTTTGGAGTAAAAGACTTTGTAACTATAATTATTCATTGCTAAGGAAGGGGATGTCTATGTCAAGTCATTGATATACTAACATGCCTGCCTAGCTCAGTAAGGGGATAAACAGAACTGTGCAGAAGAGGGTGAAAAGGCATGTACTTAATTACGTGTGCAGACTGTGTATGTAGTAGTTTAGATTAACAGATATTCAGTAAACATCTGAAAATGACTAAGAATCAATCCCTATCACAAGTGGTTTTATAGAGTGGTCTGGGGATATGTGCCTGAGATGAAACATAAAAGCTTGTATCATTGCTGAGCTCACAGCCCTGCACACACCTTCATTGTAGGAATGTTAGTCAATGTGGTTCTCTGTTTCCACATGACTTTCTCTTCCCTTGAGAACCCTTTTAGTGGTAATTACTCATTTTAATCATTTTCTAGCTCATGGTGTGAGGGAGTGAAGGTTTGTGTATAGAGGGGATTCTTTTTTTTAATTTTTTAATTTTATTGAGGTCATAATGGTTTATAACATTGTAAAATTTCAAGTGTACGTTATTATTTGTCAGTCACCATATAAATGTGCCCGTTTACCCCTTATGCCCAACCCCCAACCCCCTTCCCATCTGGTAACCATTAATCTGTTCTCTTTGTCCATATGTTTGTTTATCTTCCACATATGAGGGACATCGTATGGTGTTTATCTTTCTCTGTCTGGCTTATCTCCCTTAACATAATACCCTCGGGTTCCATCCATGTTGTTGCAAATGGGACGATTTTTGTCTTTTTTATGACTGAGTAGTATTCCATTGTGTATATATACCACATCTTCTTTATCCACTCATCAGTTATTGGGCACTTGGGTTGTTTCCATGTTTTGGCTATAGTGAATAATGCTGCAATGAACATAGGGGTGCATAAGTCTCTTTGAATTGTTGATTTCAAGTTCTTTGGATAAATACCCAATAATGGCATAGCTGGGTCATGTGGTATTTCTATTTTTAATTTTTCAAGAACTCTCCACACTATTTTCCATAGTGGCTGCACCAGTTTGCATTCCCACCAACAGTGTATGAGGGTTCCCTTTTCTCTACATCCTCTCCAATATTTGTTATTTTTTGTCTTGGTGATTATAGCCATTCTAATGGGTGTAAGGTGACATCTCAGTGTAGTTTTGATTTGCGTTTCCCTGATGATTGGTGATGTTGAACGTCTATTCATGTGCCTGTTGGCCATCTGTATGTCTTCTTTGAAAAATGTCTGTTCATATCCTCTGCCCATTTCTTGATTGGATTGTTTGATTTTTTGTTGTTGAGTTTATGATTTCTTTATATATTTTGGAGATTAACCCCTTGTCGGATATATGATTTGCAAATATTTTCTCCCAGTTGGTGAGTTGTCTTTTCATTTTGTTCATGGTTTCCTTTGCCTTGCAGAAGCTCTTTAGTCTGATGAAGTCCCATTTGTTTATTTTTTCTTTTGTTTCCCTTGCCTGAGTAGAAATGCTATTCGAAGAGATTCTTCTAAAACTGATGTCAAAGAGTGTACTCCCTATATTTTCTTCTAGGAGTTTTATGGTTTCACGTCTTACCTTCAAGTCTTTAATCCATTTTGAGTTAATTTTTGTGTGTGGCAAAAGATAATGGTCTACTTTGATTCTTTTGCATGTGGCTGTCCAGTTTTCCCAATACCATTTATTGACGCGACTTTCCTTTCTCCATTGTGTGTTCTTAGCTCCTTTGTCGAAGATTAGCTGTCTGTAGACGTGTGGTTTTATTTCTGGGCTTTCAGTTCTGTTCCACTGATATGTGGGTCTGTTTTTTACCACTACCATGCTGTTTTGATTACTATATCTTTGTAATATATTTTGAAGTCAAGGATTCTGATGCCTCCAGCTTTGTTCTTTTTTTCTCAGGATTGCTTTAGACGTTCAGGGTCTTTTGTTGCCCTATAGAATTTTAGGATTCTTTGTTCTATTTCCATGAAGAATGTCATTGGGATTCTGATTGGAATTGCACTGAATCTGTAGATTGCTTTATGTAATCTGGACAAATAAAATAAAAGTAGGACATTTTACTATGTTTTACTCTTCTAATTCATGTGCACGGAATTTCTTTCCATTTCTTTATGCCATCATTGATTTATTTCAATAATATCTTATAGTTTTCATTGTATTGGTCTTTCACCTCCTTAGTTAAATTTATTCCTAGATATTTTATTCTTTTTGTTGCGATTGTAAATGCGATTGTATTCTTGAGTCTCTTTCTGTTAGTTTGTTATTAGAGTATAGAAATGCAACTAATTTTCATAAGTTGATTTTGTACCCTTCCCCTTTGCTGTAGTTGTTGATTATTTCTAATGGTTTTCCCATGGATTCTTTAGGGTTTTCTATATGTAAACTCATGTCATCTGCAAACAAGCAAGAGTTTCACTTGTTCCTTGCCAATTTGGGTACTATTTTTCCTTTTTCTTGCCTAATTGCTCTGGGCAAAACCTCCAGTACTGTGTTGAATATGAGTGGTGAGAGTGGGCACCCTTGTCTTGTTCCTGTTCTCAGAAGGATGGCTTTCAGTTTTTTACTGTTGAGTATGATGTTGGCTGTGGATTTGCCATATATGGCTTTTATCATGTTGAGATGCTTTCCTTCTATACCCATTTTATTGAGAGTTTTTATCATAAATGGATGTTGGATCTTGTCAGATGCTTTCTCTGCATCTATTGAGTTGATCATGTGGTTTTTATTCTTCATTTTGTTAGTGTGGTGTATCACATTGATTGATTTGTGGATGTTGAACCATCCCTGCGTTCCTGGTATAAATCCCACTTGTTCATGGTATATGATTGTTTTAACATATTGCTGTATTCGGTTTGCCAATATTTTGTTGAGGATTATTGCATCTATGTTCACCAGAAATATTGGCCTATAATTTTCCTGCTTTGTGTTGTCCTCGTCTGGCTTTGGGATCCCAGTGATGTTGGCCTCATAAAATATGTTAGGAAGCATTGCGTCTGCTTTAATTTTTTGGAATAGTTTGAGAAGGATAGGTACTAAATCTTCTTTGTATGTTTGGTAGCATTCTCCAGAGATGCCATCTGGTCCTGGACTTCTATTTGGGGGGAGGTTTTTGATTACTATTTCTATCTCTTTATAGAGAGGGTATTCTTTATGCTTAGTGAACTCTTCTAACTTAGGCCAGTGAACCCAAGTTCACAGGAGCTTATTTTTAGAGCCCCAGAATTGTCTGGTTACTCTACTGGGTGTGACACTGTTAGTTTCTTATCCTCTAATGCTCAACTAGATTTCTTATCCTCTAATGCTCAGTGCATATTGTTGCTTCTAACATAAAGGAAGTTCTTTCAGAGAACTAGCTCTTGGGTTCTGTTTAAGCTGTCAGAGACTGAAAGTGATGGGTTTCCCACTGTGAGGGTATTTTTGCCCATTTCTCCTTGAATTTTTAATGCTTTTAACTGCATGTTTTTTTTGGTTGGTACATTTTAGAGGTAAGTTGTCTTCTTTTTAGGACCTGGTTTCCTGGGATGCAGGTCCTTTTCATTCTTTCCTGTTACTCATCTTTAAACAAGAGATCTGTTTAGGCAGAAAAGCCAACTCTTTCTCTCTTGTTCTCTCTCTCTCTTTTTCTTTCTGTATCTCCCCCCAGCCCCCAAATGATATTGCTTTTCTAGTATGTATTAAATCCACAATTAAAATAAAAATAATGTCCCTTTAAAGGAAAATTTTGTGGAGTATTTGAGAAAAAATTTTGCTTACAAAGTTTTTTGAGACCAAAGAGCAATATTGATAATTTCTTAATTATTTTTCTCAACAGGTGCTTTCTTTAAACACAGATAAAGACATTCATCAGGGATTCCAGTCCCTTCTCGCTGAAGTAAACAAGCCCGGCGTTCATTACTTGCTCCGAACAGCCAACAGGCTCTTTGGAGAAAAGACTTGTGAATTCCTCTCAGTAAGTTGAGTCAACAGAACAATAAAAGTTGTATTCAAAATATAGAGTTGAGGGAAAGACCTAGAGAACTGAAACTTATGGGGAACATTGTTTTAAAAAATCATAATGCTGTAGCTATACCTTGATTATTTAAAATTTGAGTACTTCTAGAATTCATTTATCCATTTCTGGTTATTCATGGCTTAGTACTTACCTATTTATAAACTCTGATATTTTAATATGTAGTAGATTATGATATGATCACTTTTAAGAGATGTATGCTCTTTTTAATAAAAAGTATGTAATATTCAGAATTTTGGAAACTTCCTGACATTTTATTTAGGAACATAGCCTCATTGAACACTTTTCTCTCCAAAGACCTTCAAGGAATCCTGTCTTCAATTCTACCGTGCTGAGCTGGAGCAGCTGTCCTTTGCCCAAGCTGCAGAGCAGTCCAGGAAACGTATAAACACTTGGGTCTCAAAAAAGACTGAAGGTCAGAATTATGTGTGATTTCCCCTCCCCTGCGCCGCCTCTTCCTGCTCCTCTGATTTCACCAGTGTTTCAGATGGTCAGAGTCATGTTGACAGGCTTGGCCTCATGGCATATTTGAACCTTAATGGACTCATAGAGGTTCCAATCAGATGCTTGGGTTTTCAACAACAAAGACTCAATTTTGTCCATTCTCCCAGGAACAGAGTGACTGATACAAATGTCAGAAGAAACTCAGGCCAGATTTCCAGTTTAATAACTTACACGGAAATGTCCTTTCACTTGGCCTGTAACATTGACATGTTGTGTGAATGCATCATCTCTGTAGGAAGGAGACTCATGGTCAAATCTTCCCTGAGTCATACACTTGGGCCTCCTCTTTCTAGATTCTATGTGGACCTGCATCACCACCACCTTTACTGTACCTGTTAAGCTTACTTATTCTTCTGCCTCTTTCATGTCTTCCACTTAGCACTCCCTTAATTAGACTTGATAAACCTAGACTTGGTAGGCCAACTGCAAACCTTCTCTCAGGGCTGATCAATTCTGCAGACTGAAATCGCCCTGTGTTCGGGGTTGAGCCTTATTCGTTTCTATTTCAGAGAGTGGCATGTTCTGATCTTGGCCCCCACAATCAATGATGGTATGATGTTTGAACCATTCAGCTCCTCTGCACCAACTATACTTAGTACCACTAGGAGCATTCCTGTTTCTGTTACTAAATGAGACAGTAAAGAACAAGAGGTTGTCTTTCCTTAAAGACTTAGCAGTTACTTCCCCCATTTCTTCTTGGAATATTTCCCACTTATGCCATCTGGAAGCAGTGAATTAGCAAGGATGCTTTTCGTTCATTGAAAAGGTACAACTCAATATCCGAGGGAAGAAGGGACTATCTTTCACTTGCCCACCTTACCTTTTCCAGGAATGTCTGGTGTTTTGTTTAGAGGATCAAATAGTGAAGTCTTTTCTAGAGGCTTCCAGAAGCTCCTCAGTGTACCCACACTGCCCATTGCCAGCAATTTCCTCTTTGAGTCGTTCTTTCCGGCTGCCTCTGAAGTGTCCACATGTGGTCGTGGAATGTTAGCAGTGGATGTAACTTTGGAGCCTTAGATCAGACACTCCATTTAACCACATGGGGTAACCGAGGCCCCTCCATCCCGTCTCTCATTTCCTGCTCACCTCGTTCCCCAGCCTGGTGTAGTGTCTTTCCCTGAGTGATTTAGAAGTCTTTTGCTGTCATCAACTTTGTAGATATTCCCAAAGCATCGGTGATCATGAATACTACTTGCTTGTGTTGTTTTTGATTTCTGTACGTAACATTCCAAACTCAGCAAATTTGAAAAAAGAATGTTTGGTTCTCGACTAATAATCAAGGATCTGTCAATAAACCTTATCACAGTTTATTCATCATGCTTTTAAAAAAATCAACTGAATATATTCTCTACTTTTCCTGGAAGGTAAAATTCGAGAGTTGTTGCCAGGTAACTCAGTTGATGCGCAGACCAGGCTGGTTCTTGTCAACGCCATCTACTTCAAAGGAAGGTGGAATGAACAGTTCAACAAAACGTACACGAGGGAAATGCCTTTTAAAATAAACCAGGTGGGGGAAGCTTTCAAAATCCCTTTAGTTTGATGAATAAGTTGAATGGAAAAATTTAACATTCTGAAAGCATAAGTGATTAGTTAAAAGTAATTTGAAACAACACATTTCTGAATGGAATTTTAAACTCAGTAGAAAAGGACTGAAGGAATAAAAAATATTTGCTGCCTATAATTTTTTGCATTTTTTTTTGTGTGTGTGAGGAAGATCAGCCCTGTGCTAACATCTGCCAATCCTCCTCTTTTTTTGCTGAGGAAGACTGGCCCTGGGCTAACATCCATGCCCATCTTCCTCCACTTCATATGGGACGCTGCCACGGCATGGCTTGACAAGCCGTGCATCTGTGCGCGTCCGGGATCTGAACCGGCGAACCCTGGGTGGCCGCAGCGGAGCACGCGCACTTAATAACCACTTGTGCCACGGGGCGGGCCCCTAATTTTTTGCATTTTATTACTGCTTCTACTGCCTCTGATAATCTCTTATACATTCATTGCTGCCCCCTCATTCTGGAAACTTAAGATTTTCCTTTAAGCCCAAGTTGCTTAGATAGAAAGCAAAAAAACAGGTGTTAAGGAAATGTGATCTATGTGTGTCTTCCAGAGGGTAGAGGGAGAGAATGTGAAAACATATTTCTTTAATCGGGTATTTTAAAAATTAAAATAAGTATAGACTTGAATTGCTGTTAATTAATTATTATTAATTCAGTTTTATAGCTTTTTAATATTAAAACTAACTGACAAAGACCCTAGTCTTGACACTGAGGTATAACTTCTAATTCAGGCAGGCATTAAAATAGTTTACCAATCCCCCAGCTCCTAAAAAAACACCACATAGGTAAAACCATTCGGGGGGGATAAGGGGTACTTTAAATAATGAGCCCTCTAGTTACAAAGGGGGGAGGGGGAGAACTTTTCTAACATTGATTTTATAAACTATTTTAGTTTTTATAATAGATGGTCTGTATCAACTTTTAAAAATTAATTTAATAAGTATGATACCTCAGTTAACTTTTGCATTCATATACCTCTTCTGTACTTTTTAAAAAATTACTTCCTGGGGCCGGCCCTGTGGCGTAGCGGTTAAGTGCTCGCGCTCCGCTGCTGGTGGTCCGGGTTCGGATCCAGGGCGCACACCTACACGCCGCTTGTCAGGCCATGCTGTGGCGGCATCCCACATAAAGTAGAGGAAGATGGGCACAGATGTTAGCCCAGGGCCAGCCTTCCTCAGCAAAAAGAGGAGGATTGGCATGGATGTTAGCTCAGGGCTGATCTTCTTCACAAAAAATAAAATTATTTCCTTGGATAAGAGTACCAGCATTGGGACAATTGGATTTAAATGCATGAAGATACACGTGATTCTTCAAACTTGCTGCCAGACTGCTTCCTGAGGGGCGTATCCATCCACACTCCCACTCACATTGCTGTGAAACTGTGTTTCCTCCTACTTTATTATAAAAACTTTGTCTAATTAAATAGAAATAATTTTCTATTTAATATCATTTGATTATATTGTTTCCTTAGATATATGTGCCAGACATATTTTTTTTTTTTTGTGCCGGACATATTTTAAATGAAGGAAATCTGACTTCCTCCTCTGGAAAATGCAGAGTATCACATTTATTTTGCTGAATACAGCATCTTCTTTCCCAGGCTAGTGCTGCATCTGCTTACAATAGAGGCCTTGTCGTGACGACAGGACGGAGTCGGTGGACATTTTGTAAGTGTTCACTAGAGCATGAATAGTGTTTCCATCACGGCTGCTGAAAACCCTCCTGGAGACAACTGCAGTTCTTTGGAAATTTTTATTGCCTCTCTCTGTAACCTATTTTTAATTCCATACCCATCTGTTTATTTGCATCAGAAGGAGCAAAGACCTGTGCAGATGATGTTTCAGGAAGCCACGTTTCAACTTGCCTACATCGAGGAGGTGCAGGCCCAGGTCCTGGAGCTGCCCTACATGGACGAGGAGCTGAGCATGGTCATTCTGCTCCCTGACGACAGTGTGGATCTAAACTCGGTGAGATGAACGCAGTGACCCCCTGCGTGTCCCTCCTTATAGGACTGAACTCGAGCACCACTTTGACGTTTTGAGTTTACCTTTCAAGTTGGGGATGCAGGCAGCCGGGCAGCAGAGCACAGTGTTCAGACACTTGGGCTTCGGCATCAAACTGTTATTCAAGACCTACTTCTCCCATTATTATCTCCGTGACCTTGCCAAATTACTTAACTCATCTCAGCCTCTGTTTTCTCATCTCCAAAATGGGGATAATGATAACATCTGCTTGATAGGCTTATTATGAGGATAAAATGGGGGTAACTCAGGTATCAAATTTAGCATGCTGTCTGGTACATAAATAAGCCCTATATAAATGCGATCCTTTGTAATTATCATAATCACTGTTATTAGCATTATATTTTAAAAACTAAGAACCATGGTCTCTATTCAGAATCTGAAACAGTGAGTGAGAAAACCTTGCACTTTGACCTAACGAGGGGAAGGGGTGGAGGGCAGGAGCCAGCACTTAGGGGGCGGAGCCAGAAACAGCCCCAAATGGCTCGCCCCTTCCACTTGCTGTCTTTCATCGTGGCTCCCTAGGGTGAGAGAGTCAACTGTTGCCCAGTAGATTCTTGGACTGGGCACCGAGTGGCAGGCAGCGTTCCCGTGTCCTAAGGGGCCTGTGTAAGCAGAGCTGCAGCTGTTGGCTCTCCCTCTGTCCAGCTCCCTGTGATGTCTCCTCTCCAGAAACCATGCAGGATCGCATCTCTGGGCAGACTTCCCTTCTGGGTGGGCTACACTGAGAGCCCTTTCTTTTCCAATCTTTTTCCTTGCCAGTAATGTCTTGTCTTCAAAAGAAGCATAGTTAAAAGAAGCACAGTCAGCTGGGCATTGACAATTGTCAAGATAAAAGATGTCTCCTAGTAGTTGTTGGGTAAGGAGGGGAACAGACACGGTCTTTGTGCCTCCAGGCTGCTTGAGGTTTCCCCTGCTTGGCAAGGAAGCCATGTATGTAATAGCACAGGTACGAGATCTCAACAGATTTTCTTGCAGGTAAAGGTGCCACTGGTTTTGTGTGACAATCAACTCCCATCTCCAAGAGGAGGAGGAGTACGTGGTATGCCTGTGTGCATGTAGATATGTGCTGAAGTGTGTATCTTAAAATCTAATTCTGGTCTTTCAGGTGGAAAAAAATCTCACTTTTGAGAAATTCATAGCCTGGACCAAGCCAGACTGTATGAAGAGCACTGAAGTTGAAGTTTTCCTTCCAAGATTTAAACTTGAAGAGGAGTATGACATGGAATCTGTGCTTCAACATTTGGGGATACTTGATGCCTTTCAACAGGGCAAGGCTGACTTTTCAGCAATGTCAGCCGAGAGAGACCTGTGTCTGTCCAAGTTTGTGCACAAGAGTTTTGTGGAGGTGAATGAGGAAGGCACAGAGGCCACGGCTGCTTCAGCCATGGTGGTTGTGGAATGTTGCATGGAATTTGGACCACGGTTCTGTGCTGACCATCCCTTCCTTTTCTTCATTAGGCACAACAAAGCCAACAGCATTCTGTTCTGTGGCAGGTTTTCCTCTCCGTAAGGGAGTTCACTTACTATGCATGTGAGTAGTTCCCTCTTTTTGTGTCCCTAAATCTCACTGTACATCTCCATGAGGATGGGCCCAGTGCAAAGGTGAGGGCAGATTCTTCAACCGTTTCCATGATTTGCCAGCACAATTCCATGCTTCTCTACACTCAGCTCTTGCCATACTGATCACTCATTTGCGCTCTTTAGTCAGGATCATGGGATAATAGACTTAATGATTTCCTGTTGTATTTAAGATGCAGTCCAAATCCCATAGGATGACATGCAGAGTTTTCCTATTTGGCCGCAGACTTACCTCCCACTCATTCCACATGCAATTCATGGTAGTTACACTGTGCTCTGCCTTGTACCTCAAATCTGGTCACACACTTGCCTTAACCTGATCATTTCAATAGTAATAAATGCTGCTGGCTATTCCTACTATTTTATAGTTTTCCTGGTGTTTGCGCTTTTTAGGAAGTTTCTTTAATGCACGTTTTTATTTTATCTTTGTTCAATGTTCATCGATCACCAAGTATGTACCAAACACTGCGTCAGGCAGTGGTGATGCAAAGGGGCGGAGTCATGGTCCTTTGACACCTAGTTTTTAATACCCATGCCAGAATTACATAGTTTTTACGACAACCACGTTGCACTAGGTAATATCCTTAAGCTTACCACGTGATTCTTTTGTAGGGATCACACCTTTCTTCATGTTGTTGTGTTTCTCCACTTCTAACTCTAACAGTAGAAATTCCATTTAACCCTTAAAGCTCATTTCCAGTGTCATCTTCTCTGAGAAGTTTTTCCTTTTCTGTGTAGGCAGACGTGCATCTTTGCACTCTTATTGCCTAGAGAGGGCATTTCTCTCGCAGCAGCTGCTTTATTTATTTACCATCTGTGTTCTCCAACTAGACTGTAAATTCATCAGAGGTTGGGACTATATTTTACATATTTGCATGCCACTGATTAGTGCATTGATAAGTAATTTGATCATAAATGAGCTCAGTACCTTTTAAAAAGATGATTAGATATCAGTGACTTTATTTTTTTTTAGAAGTTTTTATTGAGGTGAAATTCACACAACCATTTTAAAATGAACAATGCAGTGGCCTTTAGTACATTAACAGTGTTGTGCAACACCACCTTTATCTAGTTCCAAAAAATGTTCATCACCTCAAAGGAAAACTCCATACATATTAAGCAGTTACTCTCCATTCCCTGCTCTCTCCTACCCCTGGCAAATGCCAATCTGCTTTCTATCTCTATGGATTTACTTATTCTGAATATTTCATATAAATTGATTTATATAATATATGACCTTTTGTGTCTGTCTTCTTTCACTTAGCATAATGTGTTCAAGGTTCATTCATGTTGTACTATGTATCAGTACTTCATCATTATTTATGACTGAATAATATTCCACTGTACAGATATAGCACAATTTGTTTATCCGCTCATCCATTGATGGACATGTGGTTTGTTTCCACCTTTTACCTATTTGTGAATAATGCTGTTATGAACATGCATGTATATGTATTTGTTTGAATACCTGTTTTCCGTTCTTTTGGGTATATATCTAGGAGAGAATTGCTAGGTCATATGGTAATTCTATGTTTAACTTTTTTTTTCCCCCTGAGGAAGATTTGCCCTGTGCCAACATCTGTGCCAGTCTTCCTGTATTTTGTACGTGGGTTGCTGCCAGAACAAGGTCGCAGATGAGTGGTGTAGGTCCAAGCCCGGGAAGGGAACCGGGGCCACTGAACAGAATGCACTGAACTTAACCACTAGGCCATGGGGCCGGCCCCTGTGTTTAGCTTTTTGAAGAACCACCAAACTGCTTTCCACAGTGGCTGATCCATTATACATTTCCACTGGCAATGTATGAGGGTTCCAATTTCTCCACCTCCTTGTCCACACTTGTTGTTTTCCTTTTTTTCTTGAAATTCTGGCCATCCTAGTGGGTTGGAAGTGATATCTCATTGTGTTTTTCATTTGCATTTCCCTAATGACTGATAATGTGCATCTTTCATGTGCTCACTGGCCATTTGTACATCTTTGGAGAAAAGTCTATTGAAGTTCTTTGTCCAATTTTTCATTGAGTTGTTTGTCTTTTTGTTGTCAAGTTTTAAGCATTCTTTATATATTCTGGATACTAGACTCTTATCAGATATATGATTTGTGAATATTCTTTCTCATTCTTTAGGTTATATTTTCTCTTTTTTGATAATGCCCTTTGATACACAAAAGTTTTTAATTTCGGTGAAGTCCAGTTTATCTATTTATTTCTTTTATTGCTCATACTTTTGGTGTCATAGCCAATCCATTGCCAAATCCAAAGTCATGAAGATTTACAGCTATGCTTTGTTCTAAGTCTTTTATGGTTTTAGCTCTGATATTTAGATTGTTAATTTTTTTTGATGTATATGATGTGAGGTAGGGGTCCAACTTAATTTTTCTGCATATGGGATATCCAGTTGTCTCAGCACCTGAAACTGTTTTTGAATTGAAAAAGTGTTTATACTAGATAAAAAGGAAAGATAATATCTAAACAAGTGATAAGGTGAAAAATTACTCAATTTGAATATATCAAATTCATTCTGTGAAGAATACCATAACTAGACTGAAAGAAAATATGAAAAAATGAACAAGAGCGGTGACATCAGCATCATGGTGGAGTGAGCTGTTTCCTTGGTCTCCCCCCACTAAGATACAACAAAAAGGACATTCATTGACCAACAGAGAACATCACATAACACAATAGATTCAAGCACCCATACGTCTGAAGGTGGGGTACTGGGCTCCTCAGGAAGCAGTGGAAGGGGATAAGTGGATCTCCTCTCCCTCCCCAGCAGCTGCAGTCTAGGGCATGGGACCTCACAGTATCTGACACATGACTCTGAGAGGAAATGGGGGAAAAGGCAGCCCTCCATGGGAATGCTTTCACTTGGAGCTGCTTAGCACGTGGGAACACTCCACACTGGCCACTCAGTCACTGTGGGGGAACCCCCACCAACCGGAGCAACACAAGTGGCCCACCACTGAGTGCAGAGCAGGAGCATGGGTGGGAAAGAAAGCGCTCCCTCCCCCTGATCCCGCCTGGTGCACCAGCTTAGCCTCTCAGCAAGGGCAAGGAATCCCTGTCAGAGTGCATGTGCCTGTGTGTGGGTGTGTGTGTGAAGCAGCAGCAGCCAGATGCAGAGAACCCTATTGGCACAACTTGCAACGGATTGGCACAATTGCCAGGGGATGCAGCGGGCTCAGAAAACACAGCTCCTGCCCTCCCCCGAGTGGTGGCAGGTGGAATCTGTGGGCAGATACTACCACTTTGCACCAGCAAAGATCCACCCCATTCAAACAGCATGAAGAAATACATTAATACTCCAGACCAGAATGAAAATGACAAGTGTCCAGAAACCAATCCTGAAGTCACACAAATTTACAATCTAAATGACAGAGAATTCACAATAGTTATCATAAAGAAGCTCAATGAGTTACAAGAAAGCTCAGAAAGAGTCCAGTGAATCAGGAATAAAATTAATGAGCACAAGAAATTCTTCACAAAAGAGATTGAGACTCTAAAATACAACCAAACAGAAACGCTGGAGATGAAAAACACAATGAATGAGATAAAAAATCTAGAATCCTTAAAAAACAGAGCTGACATTATAGAGGAAAGAATTAGCAATTTAGAGCACAGAAATATAGAAATGCCTTAGGTAGAGGATGAGAGAGAACTAAGACTAAAAAGAAATGAAATTCTCTGAGAAATATCCAACTCAATTAGGAAATGCAACATAAGGATTATAGGTTTTATAGAGGGAGAAGTGATGGAAAAAAGGGGCAGAGAGCTTGTTCAAAGAAATAATAGCTGAGAACTTCCCAAACCTGGGGAAGGAGTTGGAATTATATGTAAATGAAGCTAATAGGACTTCTAATTACATCAACATAAAAAGACCTTCTCCAAGGCATATATTAGTAAAACTGGCAAAAATAAATGACAAATAAAAGATATTAAGGGCAGCAAGGCAGAAGAAAATAACTGACAAAGGAACCCCTATCAGGCTTTCAGCACATTTCTCAGCAGAAACCTTACAGGCTAGGAGAGAGTGGAATGATACATTCATAATACTGAAAGACAAAAACTTTCAGCCAAGAATACTCTATCCAGTGAAACTATCCTTCAGTTACAAGGGAGAAATAAAAACTTTGCCAGATAAACAAAAGCTGAGAGAGTTCATTGCCACAAGACCCCACCCCCCAAGAAATGATCAAAAGGGCCCTCATACCTGCAAAAAAAAGAGAAAATGTTTACAAACCCTTGAGTAAGGAAGTAAATAGACACATAAAATCATAAAATTGCAGCTCTCTATCAGAACAGGTTAAAACAATTATAACATTAAAGATAAAGGGAAGGAAAGCATCAAAAATAACTAAAATCACTTCATTTTAATCACAAACTCACAACACAAAATGGAATAAGTTGTGACAAAAATAACTTAGATGTGGAAGAGAAAGGGGATGGAAGCTGCTTAGGCTAAGGAGATAAGAGGCTATCAGAAAATGGACTATCTCATCTACAAGATCTTTTATACAAACCTCACAGTAACCACTAAGTGTATAATCAGAACAGAGACATAAATGATAAATAAAACTGAGAAAACCATCATAGAAAAACACCAGACTGAAATGGCAGTTGGAAATACATGGGACAAGAAACAAGTGAAATACAGAAGAACTGGAAAACAAGAGATAAAATGGCAGGATTATGCCCTCATATATCAACAATCACTCTAAATGTAAATAGATTGAATTCTCCAATCAAAAGACACAGAGTGGCAGGATGGATTAAAAAACAAGACCCAACAATATGCTGCCTCCAGGAAACACATCTCAGCTGTAAAGACAAACACAGGCTCAGAGTGAAGGGATGGAAGACTATACTCCAAGCTAATGGCAAACAAAAGAAAGCAGGTGTTGCCATACTTATATCAGACAAAGTAGACTTCAAGATAATAAAGGCAATGAGAGACAAAGAGGGGCAGCATATAATGATAAAAAGGACATTCCACCAAGAGGACATAACACTTATAAATACATATGCACCTAAAACAGGAGCATCAAAGTACATAAAGCAACTATTAACAGACAAAAGGGAGAAATTAACAGCAACACAAAAATAGTAGGGGACATCAACACCCCACTTACATCAATGGATAGATCATCCAGACAGAAATTCAACAAGGAAATAGGGGAATAAACAAAAAACTAGACCAGATGGACTTAACAGATATATATAGAACACTCCATCCAAAAACAGCAGAATACACATTCTTCTAAAGTGCACATGCAACATTCTCAAAGATAGACCATATGTTGGGAAACAAGGCAAGCCTCAATAAATTTATGAAGACTGAAATCATGTCACGCACCTTTTCTGACCATAATGCTATGAAACTAGAAGTCAACTACAAGAAAAAAGTCACAAATATGTGGAGACTAAGCAACATGCTAATGAACAACCAATGGATCAATGAAGAAATTAAAGGAGAAATCAAAAGATATCTGGAGACAAATGAAAATGAAAATACACCATACCAACTCATATGGGCTGCAGCAAAAGCCATCCTAAGAGGGAAATTTATAGCAATACAGGCCCACATTAACAAACTAGAAAAATCTCAAATAAGTGATCTCAAGCTACACCTAACAGAACTAGAAGAAGAAGAAAAAACAAGCCCCAAAGTCATCACAAGGAGGGAAATAATAAAAATTAG